AGAGAGAGAGAGAGAGAGAGAGAGAGAGAGAGAGAGAGAGAGAGAGAGAGAAAGAGAAAAGTAAAGAGAGAGAAGTAAGGAGAGAGAGCGAGAGAAAGAGACAGAAGAGACGAGTCGAGACGAGAAGAGTAGAGAAGAAATACGGAGAGAATACCTTTTCCCAACAAACGAGTAACAGCAGGCAGGCCGAGAGAAGTGGCTCCACAATGGAACCCCTTACGTCTAACGGTTATACACGCAGGTAGAGCTTCGCTGTTGCCGGGCTGTAAGCGTCCATTGTGTTCCTCTCGCCGCAAGAAGAACACGCCACGGGTTCGAAGCACCTCTTATAGTTACGCGTTATTTTCTTCCGTGCTGGTGTTGTCTCAAACTTGCGCGCACTGATTATTATCCATGTGTTGCCCTAAACATTTCGGCAATTTTCTCATCAGCCCCGATTCATCGTCAGTTTTTCCGGCGCGCCCTCCCGCGGCGGAAAATAACGGTGCTCGACAATAGCCAATCTTCAGATTGGCCGGCGATTTCGCGAGCAGTTTATGTCGGATTAGAACGCGTAATGCATGATGAAATTTCCGTGCCAAATCAGCTCGGCTGTAATTCACGTTCAGATCCCCGACTCGAATCAGTGCGTGATTGAGATAATTTGAGAGATTGTCAAATTTTCTCCCCTGCTTCTCCCCTGCAAGATTGTCGTTTGCCGGTTCGTGTCGTTTTCCTCGCGGGAGTGCGACTCGTTTCCCGTTATTACGTAATCCCGGGGCGAGTTGCACGCGAGATCGTCACTTTTTATTTTTTCTTTGATTCCTCGAGTGACTTCATTAGACTCGATCGTGCAACTCTCCATCTGCAAAATGTACTTTCCGTACATTGAGAACAAAACATTTAATGTCAATTATACATAATTACATATAGAAAAATAATTAATTTAGTATAAATTATGTGGTCGAGGAAATCAGTTCTTTTATATTATTACTATAATGTGATAATGACCTTGTATGCACATTATTACAACCATTTTCGTGTTAGAACAACGAAGAAATATGGTCGGGATCAAAAGCAGCTCGTAATCTTGGTTGGATCTTGGTTGAAGCATTTTTTTCTCTGAGTGTATAATAACTATATAATAAAACCGGCCCCACATGTGATCTGGCCTGGTATCTCCCCTCCCCCTGTTCTTCCAGTCGACTCGTTTTCGACTCGTGCAACTCGTCGAAAATGTAAGCATGTGCAATCGCGAGGAGAAAGGTTGTCCGCCTTTTTTTCTCTGTGAGTTTAGGAACATATTCAATGCTCTGTCCAATCGGAGAATTTTTTTATTGGGAAATAAATTCTCCCATCCGACAAAATAGATGATAGATTTCTAAACCCACAAAAAAGGCGGACAACCTTTCTGCTTGTACACATCAGTTCGTACACTGAGGAAAAACGTTTGGTGTTTGGGATAAAGTTTCGAAAAGTATTCACCTCCGACTTTTTTTAAACTCAGTATTCCTACGTATATTGACGCGCTGATTACGAATATCACAGTGAAAATTGGCGACTTGATTTTCATGGTGAAAAGCATAAAAAACCCATAAAAATTATGGTTTTTTACGCTTATCTTAGTAAATACGGAAAATCATGATAAATGTTTTAAACAAAAGTTTTAGATCTCACTGAGATAAACATTTTAAGTCCTATATTCATCGTATGAATGATAGTTTTCGAGGAAATCGAGTATAAAGATCGTAACAGCATTGTTACGGTCTTTATACTCGATTTCTGCGAATCCCTTCTGCGGATTATTTCGCCACGTAGGCAGTATATTTCCCCCGAATCGTGACGAAAAAAAAAATAAAGGAAAGAGAACTTACAGTTATGAAGGAACTCTAACAACATTTTTTAAGAAAATTTTTAACATTTTTAACATTTGCAACACACGGGAAAAATATCGAACAACTAGTGGGGGGCTACGCTCCCCGCGTCCTCCTAAAAACTAACCTAACCCTACCTATCGTCACATTAGCTGTCGGTCATTGTTTATTAAAAAATTATTAAGAAAAAAAGTTATACTTTTTAACCGCAACGACGATATATGTTAACGCTGTTACTGTCTTTATACTCCATTTTCTCGAAAACTATTATTCGTAAAAATATATATATATTATTCGTAAAAATATATATATATATATATTACGGTAAAAATATATAGAACCTAAAATGTTTATCTCTGTGAGATCTAAAGCTTTTGTCTAAAACATTTATCATGATTTTTCGTATTTACTGAAATAAACGTAAAAAACTATAATTTTTATGGGTTTTTCATGGTTTTTACCATAAAAATCAAGTAGTCGCCAATTTTCCAGCAACTACGGGATATGGTTGCAACTAAAGAAGTAACTGTAACTTTTAGTTAGTTAGATCGGCCATTTTTTCTCTCAGTACACGTGTACCGGTGTTACCTTAATGTTGGATCGATAGCCAAGACTCGCGTACGACGTTTCCGACGACGACGACGAGACATCGCGGAAAGGGGGAAGAAAAGCGGGCCTCGCGACCGCGGTAAAGGCGCTCTCATGCCTCTGTTGAGAAATATTCGCTCGTAATTCACGCGAGTTCCGTACGTTCGTTTGTTCATATGCACGTGCGGCCCACGGGTGGACTCTCCGTAACGTAACCATCTGTCGTTTGATATATCTGCCGGTTGATTAAGGCGAAACGATTAGCTGCGACTTTCACCGCGTTAACGCGCGTCGCCGTCGCGCGATGGTCCTCTCTACTTCTGACATTACGTCGGGACCTCCGAGGAACTTTCGAGTTCCCCGTGAAAATTTCTTGTAGTGATTCCTCGACGTGCAACCTCCTCGCGGCCCGTTCGGAAATCCGGCCTGAAAACAATCGATTTTACGCCCGCTCTCGCGCTGCAGAAGAAAGCAGTGCTGCAGAGAAGAGAAGAAACTAGAGAGACGGAGTAAATGCAATAACGGGCTCTCATGTGTATTGGGTTGTTGCGTAATTTCTGTCGTATCTCGCGCGCTTATCCTCGACGCGCAATAAATTGTTGTTAGATCTATTTGTGAGCTGCGCTGCCAGTTGTGTACTGCCTTCACAAGTTGTAGATAATAACGGAACCGGTATGTTGGTGAGTAAATAAATTCCTTCTCAACGTTATATAAATTTTCTAATTTTGTCCAAAGAGAAATCGCGCAGCAACCTAATACAACCACAGAAAGACAAAAAAGATGTAGCGCTCATGACCAGAAATATTTAGTTGTAAGCAATGCAGTTGCATCATTCCGGTTATGTTTGTGTGGCGGTAATGCGTATGCTTGATATGACTCAGTTACTTTGGCATATCAACTACATCAACATAGCCGTGCGTGATCTAGTTGCAGCTAGAAATCAGCTGAGGTGACATTTACCATGGATACACTCTGCTTGGAGCAACCAGATATCGTCACTGTAACTCAGCAATTGCTCTGTGGTTTGCGGCGACCACATAATTGGTTGTTCCGTATTTTACTATTGAATCTGGTTGGCACAACCAGAAAGATTTATGTGTAGGCCAACCGTACACTGAGAGAAAAATGCTTGAAAATTTGTTTGTGGGATAAAAAAATTTATTTCGCAGAAATCAACTTTATATTTCGCAGAAATAAACTTTATATCTTACAAATGACTTTTCAAGTCTCTCTCTCTCTCTCTCTCTCTCTCTCTCAGCGTAATATTCTCTCTATATATTCAAAGTAGGATCAAGCCTAGTAGAAACAGAACCTCGTCCAGCCACGAGATAGTAAATTCATGTAAAACTTCGTTACTAGCTAATAATGTAATGCTCACTTTTTCTAGTAATAAATAAATAAGTTGGCTGGTAATTAAACAAACGAGATTACAGTTATGAGACGAAAACCCTTAAATAATTGCTAGCTAGTAATACAACGGTCAATTCTGCTCCTTTGAAATTTTTAACGTAACCTCAATTTTGATTAGCTCTCTAATTTTAAAATGTTAGTGACGATATGGTAAGTAGACTATGTATCTTAGGATAGACAGAGCGCCATCTACTCTATCATACTCGATATGTAATGGCTACACAAGGCAGCTAGAGTATAAACTCGATTCTACATATTTCATTCATTATATTGAATAATCAATAATAACGAGTTGATAATAATAGCGAGTTAGAAAATTTGATCCAACCTGTACTAGCTACTTACCAGCCTCTGATTCAGGCCGGCTAGTTACATTTCTACTCGGGTAAGAGTCGACCTAGAACACACAGCTTGCGAAATACATATTTTCTTATATTCGCATGTACAAAATCAAACGAATCGTTTCGGTCGGCATTTTCGAGCCTCTTCGGTAGAAATTAACAAAATTGCGCGAGTCCTTTATGCAGCGGACGGTCAACATTCTCGAAAACCAATCGAACCCAAATCGACCACCGCATATCAAGGTGCATATCAATAGCCTATCAATTAACTAGATTTGGCTCTTATTGGCTGGTTTTACTTAATTGAAAGAGACGTGATTGGACAGTTAAAGAAAATTCGCCGTGATCGCTTCCTCGCGTGTTCCCCTCTCACCTGCGCTCTCTCCCTCCGAGTCGCTTCATCGTTGATTAATCATTTCCATTCTCTTTTCTGCGAAACGCCGATCTCTGTCGCGGATATTGCGGATTATCGTCTCGAATAAAAAAAAAAAAACACCGTATAACAAGCAGCGCGCGGACGCGCAGCAGAGAAGGCAATGCTCGATTCGTTTGACTTACGTAATCGGGACGATGAAAATTCAAAGCGGATATTGCAACGAAAACTTTTTCTACGTAACGCAAAAGCGAGCGGCGCTCCACCGCCGCCGCCACCGCGCCGCGGCGTTTCATTTCGCCAGTATTGTTCTGCTAACAATCGAACGAGGACACGGATATACGCGGCCTGTGTATCGACCCTGTTCGTCGTGCGACAAAAGATAGTAAGGAAAAGCTATTTTGAAGAGAGTTTCTCTTCTCTCTCTTTTTCTCTCTCTCTCTCTCTCTCTCTCTCTCTGTCTCTTTCTCTCTCTTTGTTTTTCGTTCCTTTATTTTTTTCTTTTTCGAAACCGATACAAGAGCGTATCTCTCGACATGGACTAAAACCAGCTTATCTCGAGTACGATCGAGGCCATTTAGTAAATAACCGACGCTATAAGTTATTACCGCGATAAGAGACGTTCGAGTTCTGTAAACAGGATATTAACCCCGTTTTACCCGAAGTTCGAGATAACACGAACGCCTACAACGATAATGTTTAGCGAAGCATTTGTCACGTCCCCCCCTCTTTTTCTCTCCCCCCTCCCCGTCCCTCTCTGTACTATTACTGAGTGGCGATACGATCGTAAAAATATTTCTCCCGGGCAATCACGCATCTCTCTCAACGTCCCGTGATAATATCGCTTTCAATCGCGGTCAGTCGTGGCCGCGCTTTCTTCCCGAATTCGACCTGAAGGTCAGCTCTCCGTCAAGTTTCCACGCGTCGAACGCGTCGCCGGACTCGTGCGTTTCGTAACTTGTGCTTGTCCTTTGCATAAAGATTGCGACACTTTTGCGGGACAGATTTATACAATAGAATATTTATGCGTTGATACGACATAATGATTTTACGTAAATGATATTTACATGATGATTTTCACAAACGATACAACACAGTGATTTTGCACAAATGACACAACACAATAATTTTGCATACGTGACTTGCAACGTGTAATGATTTTGCACAAATAATATCCACAACATAATGATTTTGTGTACAAATGATATTTACAACACAACACATTCTCTAACAAAATGATTCTGCACAAATGATGTTCATGACATAATGACTTTACACGACTGATACAACACAATGATTTTGCACAAACGATACATGCAGCACAATAGTTTTACACAAATAACATTATGATAACATTATGATAATGATTTTACGCAAGTAATATACAGAGCGATCCACGTAAAGTGTGACAACCCAAAAACTCTACAAATATTTGTCCTATCAAAAAGTTGTTCATAAGAAAGTTTCATGTATTCGAGGGGTCTTTCTATCTATGTAAACAAAAATTCGCCCCCATTCCCCCTTGAAGGAAAGCGTAATTTTATATGGAACTTTCTATATAAATGCTACATACTTGGATTTTACGAGAAAAAAAATAAGTAAACTTTGTCTGAAACATTTCTTTGAAAGATGCTTCTTTCAAAAGTTATAAACATTTGAATGCAACTTTAAAGTTCCACTTTAAAGTTCAAATGTTTATGACTTTTCGTCCGAAAGGTAGAATGACCGCCGAGTTGTCCGAATTCGAGCGATTTTTCACTCGTTTTGAGTGAAATTCCACTCCAGGAAGTTTGGAGAGTAAGAAGTCTGATAGCTTTCAAACAAACTCGCCCAAGAAGAGTGTCGCAAGCTTTGCACAAACCTCTCACGTTACATGACACGTACAAATCCTTAATTGTTCATCAAAGTACCGCAACAACGGGAAATCCATCCCGATTGCGGATCAAAGTTCGTTCCTCGACTCGCTCGAGACGCCGATCGGGCTGTGGATAAAAAAAAGAGAGAGAGAGAGAGAGAAGGGAGAGTTGCGAGGGAGGAAGATCGGTCCCGGCTTGTGGCGCAATTAAAAACGTCAGAATTCTCCCATGAGGAGAATTCCATTTTCCCTATCGCTGCAGGCGATCGATTTGCTAGGCTCTCGCGAGACGGAAGATGGAGATTCTAGATTTTGCCCGCCGCCGCGCGGAACTCGTTATACGTGGCTGTGTGCCCGGCTCGGTATGAGCTCTCGTCGTCGCGCCTCGTGCCTCCTCCTGCGATTATAATACTATCATCGCGAGAAGGCGTGCCGCGCGGTGTGCGCGAGCGCACCTTCCTCCGGTTATTGGTTATTGCAAAACCCGACATTATATCGCCGTTTTACATCGCGGGAAAAGGATTCTCGGAATAATTAACGCGCCGCGCGAACCTGTGTTTAACGTGTGTATGTGTATAAACATCTAATAAAAGCAAGAAAACATCGGCAAGAAAAAAGAACGACATCTTGTCCTCCTCCGAATAAATTTGCACGAAAGACGGAAAATGTGTGTGTGTGTGTGTGTGTGTGTGTGTGGTGTATGCGAGGTGTGTTTCTTTCTGCCTTCCGAATGTGGCTCGAGCACCGTGGACCTTTCTCTCGTCTCCTCATTTGTTAATAACATCGAATCCGCGAGGCACATTGCACATGCAGCGCTGATTGCTCGTATTTTTCTTTTTTTTTGACGACGCAAGGTCGCGCATTCATTTCTCGCGTCGTGTAAGCGCACACCGGGAACTTAAAAAGATGCTTGATATTCACAACTATAATTGCACAGCGGAACAATTACAGTCGGGAGACGCAATTTTGCGGTAGGCGTTGCTGCAGTGTTGATAATAACTTTATATGCCTACAGCTACTTTTTTGTTGCAACAAAAAAACATGATTGGCGCCTGAAATGCCTATAATTTGTTGTGAGAGAGAAGAAGATTAATAGTTTTTTTCTTTCGGTAGAATACTCGTGAGCACGCTCCTCGATCACGAAACCATCGAAGGTTTCGCATACAGAGAGAAACTTATACTGTAGAACAAGTGCTGTAGAATTTTGCACTTTGACATTTTGTAGTGATTTATTATCTATTCATTTCATGTGCTCTTTATATTTTGGGAACTGAAATATTTTGGGGACTGTGCTATTAAAAGATTTGCCATGTTTCTTAGCGAAATTTCCGTGTTCTTAAGCAAGATATATCGAGTGAAAAAATACCTAAAAAATAAAAAATATTCTCAACAGGTGTAATAACATATTTACTCAAATCTAAATTCCTTTACTTAAATAGAATTAAACAGTTGCTGTGATGAAAAGTTTTTAGAAAAATGTATATTCTTTTATTTAAAAAATATTTTCTATAAGTCAATGTATATATTATTAGTACTCTCACCGAATAACTATCCTTTTACTTTTATTCATTTTTATTATTACATAATGCCGTATATTTATTCTTAAGTACTGCATTATTCCTTAAATATTTCTTAAATATTTCCTCGATGTAGACCTCATTGACAGTTCGTTCCTCCACTTCTGAATAAAATCGAAAAAAATGCGCGTATGAGAAAGAGCTATAATATTCTCTGTGCAGGATTCTCGTTTAGCAAGGACGCCAAAATTTCCGTTGACCATCGATCGTCCTTGCGCTTTTGTCGTTTTGAAAGATCGAGAAGGACGATCATCGCTGATCGTAGAGAGAGAGAAGCAGCCGAGTCTTCGCAATTCCGAGTCGTGATCTCATAATGACGTGACATTCCGCGCGAGTTTAACGCAATTACCGAGTCGTCGTATTAATAACGCGACAGAGACAGCAATACATACGCGCTGTGCTGATTAGTTGGCGAGCTACGTCGGAATTAGGCGTGAGCGGCGATCGTTCGTAGTACGACGTTGTACGTCATCATCATCATCATCATCATCATCATCCAAGCCGTTGAGTGGCCAAGGTCTCGTTTTTAGTCGCGCGGGACATTTCCATTCGAGTAAAAACCACGCAATCGTAATCAGCGAAAGTCAAGAAGAATACTCCTCCCCCTCACCTGGGAACGAATTCGTACGAACGGAAAGTCATTACTTTATCGTTGTCGTCATCGCGTGGGCGTGAATTACAGGGTAAGCCTTTCGTGAACTGCTCTTTCGTCCGGTCGTTGGCATCGCCGCCGGCGAGAGTGGTATGTACAGCGGTTGCATATTTATTTTATCCGCGCGCGCGATACTCTAAAGACGTGAGCTAACCGTGAAACCGGCGAACATCTCTCTCGATTAAATATCGGAGAAATAGAGTAGCGCTGCGGGGAGAGAGCGGGGGGAGAAGAGAGGAATGATAACGCACACACAAAAAGATGCGTACTGCATTGAAGCACCGTTTCAAGTGTTTCAGAAGTTTATATGTTCGAAAATCTATATATATTCATCGTATATCATAAATTCATCGTAAATATCAAATTTATTCAAAATACACATTCCTAGTCAATTTAGCATTTCAATTGAAAATATTAAAGCAAAAATTCAGTATGTTTACTGTATAGAATTGAGTCAACTTTTTCTTTGATAAAGTTTGATGATATTTTTATAAGAAATTAATTAATTTTTACTATATATAGAGAATCCCTCCGAGGGAAAAGGAGGAAAAGAGAGACACGTTTACATTTATTATTTTTTTAAATTATATATAAAATATATAGATTTACTTGTTTCGCGCTGTGAAAGAGACTTTTATCATGTATTCGAAGGGAGAATTTATTTACAAAACTTAATTCTTGCATATAAAGAATTAATTTACTTTAAAATTATAATTGATTTACCTTGATTTATAAATTAAAAATTAAGTTCTCTAAATAAATTCTCTCTTTTGATACATGAATAAAATTATCAAAAATTTTTGATGAATATACTTTGGGTTTACTATTAAAAAAATATTCTTTGTCAAAAATAACCATCACTTAATAGAAAGGAAATAAGCTGAGTCATCATTTTTCTTAGCAGCAGAGAGCACGATCAAGCGCTTTGAAGCGCATAAAAAAGCATGATTCATACGGCGCTGCAAAATATTTGCAGCGTCTAATGAATCACACCCAAAATGATAGTTTCCTGCGTTTAGCGAAACGCTAGCGCGTCGGCGACAGGATTTCTATTTCCAAATTCGGCGATGGTGGCGGAAAAACATCGGTAGCTTGTCTCTTCTCTCTTTCTCTCTCGCGCGCGCGTCCTCGCGAAATATATCGCGGTTTATACCTTGCGTTGTTAAGGATCGCGAAGATCGTGTTGCGAGCGAGCGTGTCGCGTACGCGCGTGCATGCATACATTTTTCATGGTCGTGTTGAACAACGCGGGTCGACGGTACACACGCGTTTCGGTGCGCATCGATGCATTATTTACCGTTCGGTATAATTTTGCATTTCATGCATTTCCCACAAGCGCTCCCTCTTATTACCCCTCCCACTCGCGTACGTAGTGTATGTAACACGCTTGCTCTCCACTCGATCGAAGATCGAGAGGAGCTGCGCGATTGATCGCGCTCTCGTTGTATACGTTGCGTGTCCGTCACGTTCCGTGCGGACGTTGCCGTGTTTTTCAATCGGCGGCTAGGCAGGGAAGGTAGAAATTGAGAAATGGAAATTAACCGTAGTCACGTTGACAGAACACTGGTAATTGGTAAGTCGTGCTTCTTTCACGACGCGTGATAAAAAAGTCTAGAAAATTTAATTTAGAGAATTAATAAATTCAAGCGTCTGTCTGTCGGATTCTTACAGTAAGAAGTAATTATCAAACGGGAGGGAAGAAAGATTTACCGAATTTAGCGAGAGATTATCGGCGACAACGAACTTTCGTCGAACATCTCGCGAACTCGATTATCGGCTTTCGTAATCGTTTTCGCGAACGCGATCGTAGATAACCGAGTGAGAAGGTCGGGGTAGGTCGGGGAGTAGAATTGAGGATAAGAGTGTGTTTTGAAGCTACACCAGGGTAGAGTGGAGTAAACTCATGGTTCTACAAAATAGACTGCGCTTTGCTGCAAGAGGGATAAAGTTAGCATTAGTAGGAAGGAGATAATAGAGAGAGAGAGAGAGAGAGAGAGAGAGAGAGAGAGAGAAAGCGACAAAGAGCAAGATGTCTAATTGTCAGGTAGGGAGAAGAAAGGAGGAAGAGCAATCACATGATTAATGCGTCCTCTTTTTCTTTCACTATTTCTTTCATTTCTCCTACGCACAGAAACGTATGATTCCACTGCTAAGAAAAGCGATTACTCAGTTTACTTTCCTTTTACTACTTAATAGATATTTTCTACAAAGAATACTTTCTTGATGATAGTCTTGAAATACTCATTACAAATCTTAGAAAAATTCATACTTATTCTCTTCACGAGAATGCGAAACTTGATCTAGGAAAAGATTGGCGCTCTCTCTCTCTCTAAAAGAACCTGTGGTGGGACTACGTTAAAATAATAGCAGAGAAATAGAAAGAAGTTTCCTGTCTATACAATCACGTGTGACAACTCGACGAATCGTTGCACGACAAATCTGTGCACGTGATTGTATAGATAGGAAATTTTTTTCCATTTCTTCGTCTATTTTTTACATAGTTCTACCACTGGTTTTTCGTGTGAACAGCGCTGCAGTCAAGTTCTTTCTTGCCTGCAATGTATGATGCCGAAAGAGATCTCCACAACTAAACCTGCGAACAGATGGCGCAAGGAAAATCAGGTCTTTCTAGAGTGTCAGTGACTAAGAGGGATGCCAATAATTCTGCGGTTCACCTTATCTTATTTCAACGGTAGGCGAAGGACACGAGAGCTTCGGTCGAAAAAATCGCGCCGTCGAACGCGTTATTCGCGTCATGAGGCTCGTTACCGCGCAACTTGCACTTTCACGTTCGCTATTGCATACCGGCGTAAGCCAGAGTCTGACATCTTTAGGTTAATAAAGACTATGCGCCTGTCCGTACGGTTGTTGCGTGGCGTAACACGAGGCTCGTGACAGCGAGACGTGTCTTAAGCGCGTAACTTTCTCTCGACCCGATGGCCCGTTTATATTCCTGTCTACGGGCGTCGATTCCGCTGGTCCCGCTCGGACCGATTTCGTGGACCCTGCCGTAGATCCCGACGAGAGATTGGGATGATCTCCTCCCGAGTCTATTAAATTTGAATTCTACTTTCGGCCTCAATATTCCACTTAACGCCCACTTGAATGTTCCGTCAGTTTCTTTTGATTCTATTTAACCCACTAACTTTGCTGAGAGGTTCTCTTTAGAATCTACAAGTGACGTTTCGTGCGTTTTCCGCCATTTAACCCTGATCTACAATATGCTCTTTGCTTCCTGCTTCTTTCTCTTTATCTCTTTCTGACTCAAACCTTAAGCTTTAAGCCAGAAAAAGACAAAAGACAAGAAACAGAATGCAAAGAGCATATTGTAGATATTGTAGATCAGGCTTTAAAGCCATTAAGTAAGATCTCACAAGTAAACCTACCCAAAAGGTACACTCCGATTTCTTTTTAATTTGACACAAATGTACACGGAAAAAAAGGTTTGGTTGAATTAAGCAAATATCTGATCGAATATGAACGATCCAGAAATTCCGATTGAAGTAACCCGAATTCTGTTTAAGTTAACAAGATTTTTGGTTGAGTTAAACAGAATTCGGGTTACTTCAATCGGAATTTCTGGATCGTTCATATTCGACCAGATATTTGGTTAATTCAACCAAACCTTTTTTCCGCGTAGAAGTACAAAAAATATTTAGGTCATACTTTTGCATTTTGGGCCACTTCGAGTTTCACGAGATTTAGTTTATAGCTTTTTAATGTTCTCACTCCTATCATCAACAAGTACAATAAAACTGCATAAGAAATAAAATTGAATGCATGATACAGTTAAATAATTTTAACAAAATTATTGAGACACGAACCATTCTAAATTTTTTTAACCGAGATTCCAATCGAAATATTTTAAATCTGTGCTAAATGAGTCAAAAATGGTTCGAATCTCACCCAAATCGAAAAATTATTTGTATAAATAATTTTTTTCAACTTTTTATATGTTTTGTCTAAACATTTTATTATTTATAAATAATTTTACTTCATATCATATCATCATAATCAGCAAATCAAAAACGCCTATATCTTGTATTTAATTTGATTTCTTATGTATTTTTGTTACACTTGATGATACAAGTGAGAACAAGTGATGATACAAGTGATGATACAAATGAAAAAATACGACTTAAATATGACTTAAATATGATCTAAATATTTTTTGTACTTCTACATTTGTTCCAAAGAAATCCGTTAGAATGAAATTAGAATATTTGTTAGAAAGAAATCCGAGTGTTACTTTTGGGTAGGTTTACTTGTCAGTTGCTATGGCCAGTATTAATAGACGTTACTTGAAACTTGTGTCACGTGAGATTTGAGAAATTTCAAGTTACAGTTAGATGAGAGCATTTTATTTGAATTATATATGACATTACATTCGCAATCGTGGTTTAATTGAAAACTTTACATCTGACTCTAAATTCGAATCTGTATATCTCATCTGCACTGAGAGAAAAATATTTGGTATTTGTAACTGTAATTACACAGAGAAATAATTGTTATAAATTATGATCAAGGCAACAATTTTTTAGTCAATTGTATTATAATTTTATATGCATGTTACTACTACTATCTTCGTGTTGGAACAACCAAAAAATATAGTTGCTGTCAAATTGGGCCTTAACTATATTTTTGTTGTTCCAACACGAAGATAGTAGTAGTAACATGCATATAAGATTATTATCACTAAAATTATAGTACAATTGATTAAAAAATGGTTGTCTTGACCATAATTTATAGTAATCATTTCTTTATGTGATTATAGTTATGGTAGCAAATATCAAACATTTTTCTCTCAATGTGAAGCAAGTTTCAAGTAATGACTATATACGAGTTCATGTATATTCAACATCCACTGATCCTGCAGAATATATGGATGTTAGAAAGTTCGTGTCACGAAAGAATAGGGCTGAAATTTCGATTGGGGGAATCTCAGCCGCGCACTTCTCTCCTCCCTCCCTCGTTCTCTCTCTCTCTCTCTCTCTCTCTCTCTCTCTCTCTCTCTCTCTCTCTCTCTCTCTC